GGGCGGTCCTCGGGCCCTTCTTGATTCGGTGTGACGAGTGAGTGTTATACGAGTGTGGTTACGGTTTCTAACTCTGGTTACTTACTTTTTCTTTCAGTCTTTATCTTAAACCTTAATACTTAAGTCTTTGTTATATTATAATAAACATTTCTTTTATTTCGATTCAATAAAATCTTATATATATATATTTGTCTGTCTGTCTGAAACCACGCCAACCACCACACCACCACCCCCACATATTAGTAGTCCATGAGGACATAGGAATCTTCTCGAACGAGGATGCATAGGAAGCTTGGGCCAGCTAAGGACTAAGAGATTTAACTTCAACTTACGGTTTTCACTTCGACTTTTAGTTTTCACTTTTAACTTATAGTTTCAACAGTCACTTATAGTTTGACTTCAACTTATATCTTTATCGTTACTACTAGCTTCCAGCTATCCAATATTTAAATACTATTCGATTGATCAGTTATAATAAATTATTAATTTTCGGGTCCTTGAGTGCCTTGACCCCCTTTGGAAAGAAACCAGCCCAAGCCTCCTGTGCAATCTCGAAAGCAACCAGCAACTGTATCACAACCTGTAAGTCACCAATCATTTTTATTATCATTAAATTGTTGTTAAATCAGAACTGCGGTCCACTAATCTTCTCCCTTGCTTCAAAACCTTCCTTAATCCACTCTCTCATCTTTTTGCCAGACTATATCACTGTTTTAAACGAGAAACGAACCAGCCTGGTCTCGGTTAAACTCGATGAAAGCAGAGTGACCATAAACAGGCATTACTTATACTACTTAACTAAACTCGTCCTTTAGGACGTAACAATAATTATATATGTTCAATTTAAAAGATCATATGCTTTGAGTTAAACAAGCCATCGCTTGTCGCTCGGCGCCATATTCGGTATTTATAAATAAAAGAGTGAAAATTTTGGATGTTCCAAAATCCTTTTTGAAGTAATACGTATGTATTACTCTTAACACAGCATTACCACAGGTCGGTGTCTCTGACAGAATGGCCCATAAGTGGTAACCAAAAAAAATGGTGGTATCATTGTTGGTGGATTGTCCGTCGTGTATTCTTTTGAAACAGACCTTTGGAAAATCGCGTGATACTTACTGAACAACGTCTCTCTCGAATCCGAGCAAAGCTAAGATACTAAGAAAAATCCTGTGATTAAAAATCAATAAAATTTCTGCCTTGTGTTCTAGACGAAGTTTATTTTTCGATAAAGCAATGAATTTTAATGTAATTCTACCGCATCATATAAAAATTGTACGTCATAGAAAACTTTGTAGCAAAGCCATCAAAGAAAAAGGCCTTTTTCTTTAAAAAAGGATTTTTCTTAATCGAGAAAAAAGGCCTTTTTTTCGGTGGCTTTACTACAAAGTTTTCTAAGACGTACAATTTTTATATGATGCGGTAGAATTACATTAAAATTCATTGCTTTATCGAAAAATAAACTGCGTCTAGAACACGAGGAAGAAATTTTATTGATTTTTAATCACGAAAAAAAACAAAGATGCAATCCCTTCTGCTAATCTTCTAATGGAATATTACTGCATATGATTTTCTCCTAGTGCAAGTATAATAAGAATAGTGCATTCAAAAATTTTTCATGGTTGCAGTACTATTGAATTCTTCTTATTGTTGTTGATAGTAATGAGTAGACACTTCCAGTTAAATTATTTACCTCCCCTGTTGAATGAATCAGTTTATCAATAAATTTATTATAAGTTTGTTTTTTACAAACCCAAAATTGTAATGTTTACCTTTTACAGATTCTTGTCTTGATTATTCTTTGTCACTGCAGTTGCATTCTATTTACATATTATTATGGAATAAAACTCTTGTTAGAATGACATATTCAATCCAAATCTTGTAATCGTTAGCCGTAAGAAAATGAAATATATATGTATGTACAGGATGATCTGTAACTGGTGGTACAAGCGAAAAGGGGGTGATTCTACATGAAAAAATAAAACGAAAATAAAGAATAACAATTTTTCGTTTGAGACTTTGTTTTCGAGAAAATCGATTTTGAATTTTCACAAAGTATGACTTTTCGTTAGGCAGCGTCAGTCACCCGTGACTGACTACAAAGTAACGCCTGTGGCCTGACGGGAATATCCCTAAGAATTCACATGGCGCTCAACGTGTTATTCTATGATATTTTATTTCATAGGCTTATTCGCATAATTTTGTTTAACAGAAATTGAATATTAAGAAAAATAACAAAATATAAAATTTATGGTCTATAAAGGATTCCGAACACTAATCGGTACTGATAATGTTTTGCAATAAAAGTCGGATAGTAAGATAATAAATAAAAAAACACTTCCGTGATATTAGAAGTGTTTATCAACATAATTTCAATCGAAACAATGATATACAATGAGATCCGTTATAACGAGACATGATTAACACGTTGAGCGCCACGCGAATTCTTTGGGAAATTCCCGTCAGGCCACAGGCGTTACTTTGTATTGAAAAAATAGTTTAACGTCAGTCACGAGTGACTGACGCGGCCTAATGAAAAGTCGTACTTTGCGAAAATTCAAAGTCGACTTTCTCGAAAACAAAACCTCAAAGAAAAAATTGTTATTCTTTATTTTTGATTTATATTTTCATGTAGAATCACCCCCTTTTCGCTTGTACCACCAGTTACAGATCACACTGTATATATACATTGATCCCATGGTCTAATGGACTCTTCTTCTCTTGGGTATAACGTTCTTGGGTTGGTATTTAAAATGTAGAGCTTCATTCTTATCTAAAAATATTTTTAAAAAATAGTTTATATATGTACCAAAATAAGTTTGAAGCGAAAAAAAGTTTAGATAATGCATAGAGTTAAAAGTGATATAATTCATATATTTCAATAATTAATAGAATTTTATATAAAAGAATATATACTATTTACTTACTATTATTTGATATAATAATTTGATAAAGAGAATGTCTGCATTTCATCTGTATTCTCGGATTTAATTTAGAAGATTATTTTTCTTAGGTTATGACATAACACTGTTCCACAGCAAGTCATCAAATTTAACTATTTTCATCTTGAAAAGATGATCACTAAAAAAAGAACATGAATCGAATTAATACAAATAAAAAATATTACTCACTTGATTATTACATCACTAAGAATTTTTTTAATTAAATACTTTACACTGCACGTAACCTGCATTTGCAGCATTCAAAGTATATTGACAGGTAGCCATCTTGATTTTGTCCTAGCGATGTGCTATCTTTCGTCTAGATGGCCAAACATATTCTACCTGTCGGTAACTAAAGTAAAAATTTCTATCGTTAGATAACAGCATATTTTTACTAGTCGGTACAATGAAGTAATAACTAGTACCGCTAGATGGCGACACACATTTTACCAGTCGGTAATAAAATATAGATTATCCAATATGTTTTTATTAATTGATTAAAAATTAATACAATCTTAATCATTTATTATATGATAAAAATAAGTGTATTTTAATAGTACTATAATATTTATTTCTTCTTCAAACTAAATCATTATATTTACCTCTTAACATATTATTGTCTAGATTATTTTTAATCAGAGCAGCCGCATTCTATTTGTATAATAGTTCACATTATTTATAGAAATGAAATACAGAAAAATATTTTCTATGTATTAAAGAAGAAGAGTTTTTCTACGTATAGGAGGACCGTAAAATTCAGAGTCTGATATGTAATGGTTATTCAAATTTATATACTTTGAAATAATCTTAAATAGAAATAGTGTACATTAGAGTATTAAAATAATCGTTAATTAATAGAAAGAAATGTCTATTGTTGTTTAAAAGTACAGAATATATGTTCGGAGTATTCGAACTCTTCGAAATTCACCTTCAGACTGTGAACCATTTAATAATACTTTTATTGCAATGTTGTTTATATCATATTTCGAATGTTGCGCATGTGTGCAACGGTAATAAAAATAAAAATTCTCCGTTTTCTCTTATACTATAAAACTATGTTAAAAAATATAATACATACAAGTTGAAAACACAGAAACGCGCGAGTGCGCGCGCGATCAGTACCGTTTAATAAATATTACATATATTAACAATATAACTATCACAATGTAGATATTTGACCTCGTTGTATGAATTTTACTTGCATAGAATCAGCAATAGTATCGTCTCTAACATTTTTCTCCTATGTCATAGAGAGAGAGAGAGAGAGAGAGAGAGAGATCAAATAAAAAATTCTTTCTTATTTACAATTGCTTACAAACAATTACTTATTTTCAACTTTGAGGTAAACCCATGAAAAATGTTCGCAAAAATTTCGTTCGTTAATTTCTTGATAAAAGAATCTAAAAAATTCGTCGATATATTATATAATATTTTGAATGGAGAAAAATGTTGTACACTGTGCTGATTGCTATGAGCGAGGGAGTTAATTGTTTATCAAGGCCTCATGAAAATTGACATGAAAATTGACATGAAAATGAGTATCAGGAATATCGTGTAGGTAGGAACGAAATTAGACGCCGTTGATCGTCCTCTTGTGTTCGATAATTCATAAAAGTATCGATTGTACGCGCTATCACAGTGCGATGGCCAGTCTTTAAAACAAGCAGCGTAAGCTATCACATGAGCTATATAGTTTTGTTCGAATGTACTGCGAAAGAGATGGGAGTAAGGACCTAAAAATAAAATCAATATTTAATACACATAACATGTACAGAATACAGAATGAATCGCGTTCTTTATCGTACTTTATCTTATATTTCATGCATTTTTACTTAATAAAAAGAAGTATTTCAAATCCCGAATTTTCCAAATTCAAGAATCCTGCATAAAGAAATTTAGTCTAAAGAAGTAAATATGTAATATTTACCAATAGCGTAAACTCCAACGTCTTCGCCGCCATGTGTATCGTCTTTCAGGTACTGAGCAGCCATATGCCTGTAAAATATATTATCACGATTGTTGTCCTCTTCCAAATTTTTCCAAGTATCGTTAACACTTTCACTGTCATTTCGACGATGATAAAAAAAGCCTGGACCATTAGCATAGCTAAGTGTTTCGTATCTTTGATTATCCGTATTAGCTATGTTATTTGCTAAACCAAGTATGTCGTTGCCTCTATCAGGATAGCCATTCATCGTGAAAGAATGAGAATGATCAGCAGTAACTATTATCAAAGTCTCGTCCAATTTGACTTGTTTTAAAGCAACGTTCACAGCATCTTCGAATTCGGATAGTTCGCGAAGTGCCAATTGTGCATAATTTTGATGATGAGCTATGTCAATTTTTCCACCTTCGACCTAATAAATAAATTAGCAGTTTAAGTAGTTAGAAGTAGTTACATATATACATCATGTACATCTCTAAATATGTGTCTATATGTATTTATGCGCACATCAATTAATTAATATTATAATATATATTCATCTTGACTACTCGATGAAATTTAAACAGGCGAAACAAGTTCGGCGAAATTTGTGCTAACTGTAGACGAATCATCCATTAGAGGAAGAGAGGGAGGGAAGATAGAAGAACATTGAATTAACGATCCAACCATATCCAACCATACTGACTACTAGAACTGTTAGTGAATAATGCTATCTCCATGGATAGCACGATCCCCATGGTTTAGTCATTTTTCAAACCCACTTTTTAAACAAGAATATTATGCAATCGTTGAATTTAATTATTTTCCAAGAAACTTGGACAATTTAACGAGTAATAGATTATTTGATTTCATTTGAAATATCTTTATCTATCTCTCTAATTTTCAGGAGTTATTCAACACGTATCATTTCATTTATTTGCTAGAATAAATCCATGCTACCAATTTAATCCGATGATACTGAAGTATCGTATCATAACGTTATCAAGTCGGTGCAAACAATAGGATCGTCGCTCTTGTGTGTTTTACTCGTAACACGTGCTGCATATATTGTTAAGAAGGAGTTTTAGTTAAGTTAAAGTAAAGTTAACGTGTTGATCCATCAACGTACTTCTAAAGTTACGCATAAAATTATCTAGACAAGTACTATGGCCTTGAGAAACATCCGGGAAACTGTAATTCTCGTAAGAAATTAGACAAAATCGACAGATTATTAATTTTTCAAGTTACTTTCATTTAGCTCTGCTTTTCCTTTTCTTCGTTTCCTCGGAAGGGAAAGGGTAGGAGTAATAACAGGAGTAGTATACGTGCACCGCGCACAACATTGCTTACCATCAGAATAAATCCATTTTTATTTTTTCTCAGCAATCTAATAGCTTGCATCGTCATGTTAGCTAAGGACGGAACGGACTTATTCTCTTCTGCGCGATAAGGCAAGTGACTAGGTGCAAAGATTCCCATGATCTTACTGGTACTCCCAATGTCTACAGACATAAGTTCGTCTTGGTCAGTTACCAGCTTCCCGTCCGGATTATTTTGCAACCAGGTCTCAGCCAAATTCCTACCGTCGTTTCTGACACAGGTACCTTTGTCGAACTTTCGTGCAGTCATCCCCATATGTTGAGCTCCTCCGCCCATTATCACCTGATCATTTCAATTGGACGGTTAAATAATCAATCTCAATCGGTTTCTCTTTTCTTCGACGGCTTACTTCGTTTACTTCGTTTAATCTTGAACTCGAATCGATAAACGATTTATACAAAATGATCTTATCTATACCTATCATATATCGTATTATGTAGATACATCGAATTAGATAATCGCACAAATGTTCTATTCATTTCGTTAATGTCTCAATCTTATTATAATAGAATAAAATGAAAATTTGTAAAATTTGTTTATCGCTTAATCATTTGATCTAACTTGTTTCGATCTATCTTTTTGTTCTCACGAATAAGAGCAATAGGTCACGATCACGACCTGATTCGATCGTGAGATTAGTCAACGGAGATACGTAAGATCGACTAAAAAGACCGGAAATGTCTTCTATAAAAGGCTGTCAACTGTCAATTAAACCTTTTTATAACTTTAATTTGACGAATTACCGAAACGATGGGAGTAAGATTAATTTAGGAACGTACCTTCAAACCATTTCCTGGTGCATCCTCGACAAGCTGCCTCGCTATATCTTTTGTGCATTCTCGATACTGCTGTGGAATCTCTGTATCGCATTCCCAATCACGATTATTCACGTGAGCATAGAGTCCAGCTGGAGTAGCATGAGTGACACGAGTCGTAGTGACGAAACCTACAAAATGACTTTATAATCTGGATTGATTTTGTATTTTTATCCTTGTTTAATATAACAAGGATAACCTTTTTAAAAGTTGCGATTTTTCAAACAACTATTATATATAACTGTACATATACAGACAATATGACATATAACAAAATTTGAATACAAATAGTATTCGTATTAGGAAGTAGTTTATCAAGATAAAAATATAATGTATTTAATAATCTCCAAAGAAATAGGTGACGAATGATTTTAAAAATGTCGTTGAACTGATAAGAGTAACGTGTGATAATAAACGAGTACAAGTGCGAGTGCACGTGTCCTTCTTTTACTTCATTTTTTTTTTCATTTTTCTAATGAAATCGTGTAAATTTTGGTATGTTTTTTAATCATAATAATTAAAAGTAAACAAATGAACAAAATAAGCAACAACATGTTTTGGATTAAACGGGCGTTTTTTCGATATTAATCAACTTTATTTGAATTCTAAGAACGTAGACTAACTGAAAATTAATATTCAAATCAGAAAGTTCCCAATCGATATAAAATCGAACGTGTGTGACATTTCGAGGATCCACCTCGAGTCTCGCATCAAATTTATTTTCATTTCCCGAATGGAGAAATCAGTCATGGACATTGCAGAATCGTCCTCGATAAGAGAGAAGGTCGGACCACGACCTCCCTGGCTGATTGAACGTAAGTACTTTCACTGTGGTAGACGCAACTATTAACAAGGTCGGCTCAACACAGATACAATACAATACATATTACATACTAAAACGTCCATGGCGCTTGATATAAACCGAATTAATAGATTAGCGGATCCAAGACGATCGAGTTCGAATTTACATTATTTTGAATTCTCCATTAACGTACAACTAACGTATATTCTATTCGATAAATAGAAATGTTATTCCTTTTATTCCACTATGCAAATAGATATGTTAATTACATTCCGATTACGTTATCGCTCCTAAACCTTACGTAAATTCTAAAATAATCTTCGGAATCCTTTAAGATTCTTCGTTCGATGTTAAAATTTCGATGGCAAATTCGTTTCATAATGAAAACAACTTAACGAATACCTTGTTGTATTTTATCGCGCTTTTGAGTTATTTCAAATCGCATTTTAAATAAAAAGTATCAATCATTAGAGTGAATCTTATCGTTGGAATTAAATTTTTGCGATAGAAACAAATTTGACTAACAATAAAGTACTGCTTTCTTTCTAGTTATGATATTTCTTCTTAGGAGGTTAATAGTTGCGCTTCAAATAATAATACGACAAGACACACTCACCTGTATCCATATCACTTTCCTGAGCCCAATCAGCGATTGTGGTTAATTTACTCAATTGATTGATCGCTATATCGCAATGATTGTAATGTGCATTAGCATCGTATCCGATAACACGATATCGGCATTTTACACCGGAAAACATCGCCGTGGCTGTGCCTGCTGAATCTGGTACTTGCATATCAACGTTGTATGTCTGAAATATAGTAATAGATAGATAATAAAAATAGGTAGATAATAAAATAGTCTCGAAAATGCGAAAAAGAGAGAATAAAATGAACGAAGAGTACGAATGAACAAACGAAATATAAAAATTCAAGCGAAAGAATATCCAATTAGTAGTCACGTTTTATGCCAACTAAACAGGAAAATATAATGAGATTGATACGAGATAAATGTTCGCTCCTGACATTGTGATTTAGTGTCACGATATTTTCTCGGACTTATGTAAAACAACTTGCGTTTCTGACATTTTTATAATCAAGTACTAGAACCAAGAGATTATCTCGCGTACATCTCCTCGAACGCCCCGGTACCCCCACTATATTTGATCATTACGAATGATATATCTGTTTTTTTTTTCTTTCGTATTTTTATTTCTTTTTCTTAACGACTGTAGGTTGTCTATCAACAAGATAAGAAGATGAACACAATGTTGTCGCCGTGGGTACAACAAAAAACATACAGAATGTCAAATTCTCCTTGGAATAATATTATGCACGTGTATACATATGAAAGAAAGAAAATTAAAGTCGTTTATCTCTCCTCCCATTGCAAATAATTATGTATTTACATATGTGCAGGTTATTATGGCAGCGGATTTTAACATTTGTCAAAGAATGAATTTGTGTGATATTGAAATCATTAATATTACAATGTAAAATGAATCATATCGAAGAAATTTGTATAATTTTGTTTTTTGTTTATTTATTAATTCATTATCATAATTCATCACGAAATATATGCATTGAAATAATATCAATAATAATAATATTATTTTTTTGCAAAGATAAATTAAATTATTAGTTAGTTCATTAATTTGAATGGAAAATGCAATACCTTGGAAAGGCCAGTACTGGGGAAATTCTCAAAAACGAGTTTGTATTCTTCGCCGGAGTAACCCTTCGACTGTCCCGTCCAAATTCGGCCAGATGTTATAGTGCTAAAGCCCATTCCATCGCCGATAAATATAATCACATTTTTCGCACGTTTCTCGATATCTCGATGAGCCAAGATCCTTTGAAGAGTCTCTTGTCCGGACTTCATCCAGAAGGACATGTCTGATAAGAGATCAAAGTTTCGCTTCGTTGCCAATGGAATAATTCTCTTCTTTCGCGATTGCAATCGCAGTTTTTCTATTTTTCTTTTTATTTCTTTGTTCGCAAGTTTGTGCATATTGCAATGCCACCACCCTCACATTATTTTTTTTTTCTTTTTTTTTTCTTTTTTTTTCTTTTTCCCCACCTTTATTTCCGCCTATTTATTTTTATTTATATATATATATATATTATTTATGCAAATGTTGTTAATAGAATATAACACTATATACAATCGTTAACCATCCATCTTTTATTTTTCCGTATACGAGATTATTAGATAAAAACGATTATAAAAAAAAAGAAAACAAAAGAAATAAGATCTCTTAATTTATGCTTCGTAGATTCATTATAATTCGAAACTACAACAGATAAATGCATATTTATCTATGCACATATGAGTATCTTCAATGTATAATAGATTTCGATGATCGATGAGTTTAGAATTTGATTAGAAATTATCGATCGTATTTTTAAGTGTAATGCGCTATTAAAATAGACACAAAAATATAATACTTTTTAATAACAATTAACAAAATTAATAATGAAATGGAAAAATCTGCAGTCATAAGAAAAATCAGCATCGATCAAACATTAAGAGCACTGAATATATATAATATAAAATGAAATATTTAGAAGAAAAAAATAGTACAAGAGAAACGACAGAATATTTATCATTAAGGCACTAAAAAACATTTCTAACAAACCTTCGTAATCCGTTGATCCCATTCGAAGAGCCGTAGAATCTCGAAGATTCATAATTAATATTATACATATTAGCCCGACGAGACGTTTCATATTAATGATTGATCAACCTGCAAAATAAAGATAATTATTCTAATGGTTTCTTAATATTGTACTTTCACTTAAATATGCGACAGTGAAAATCCCTTCTATTTCTTTATTTTTTTATTGCAATATTATTCAATTAAACTTGAACCCTTTGAATACTGAATAGTTTTAATTGTCGTGTGTGTGTGTGTCGTGAAACAGTTTTCATGAATTAGTTATTATTAGTGCAAATGTTTTCCTGTTTATTGAATATTATTCATTGGATTCTAATAATAAATTATATGTTTAATAATTAAAGTTTTATTTGTCTTGTTTTATTTTGAATTTTTATGTGACCAAGACTCAAAGCAACATAACATTACACTACATTAATATTGACAAACACGTTTATGTGAACACGTTTATTAAAACCATTATGTTAATTTTGAACAAAAGCATATATGCGCTCGTAGCAGTCAAAGAATCAACAACACTAAATATCCTTCAACTTATCGTTATTTTACCCTTTTAATGAAGACTTGTTTAATTTAAGATAAAAATTCAATCAGATAGAATGAAAAGAACTGCGATCGTTTGAATAAGTTCGATATTATATCGTTGATCCTCTGAAATATTTGAAATACTTGTCCAACGACTGGGAACACGTTTCTTCGCATTTTTTTCCTTTCTTAGATAAAAAATAATTTACTGATAATACGTTAATAATTACATTAATTATGCATAACAAGCATATATAAAAAATAAAAATAAAAATCGAATCGAAATAATGCGATCTAATATGATCAAGAGATTATATTATATTTTCTTCTTACAATATCTACAGATAGTTATTAAAATCCTAATTGTATAAAATGAGTTTATATAGTTTGAATTGATCATTTGATAATTTCGAAAAAAGAAAAGAGAATGTGAAATGTTACACAAAATTTACTTTATATTATAAGCGATAAGGAAGAAACAAAGATGCGTGTGCACACATACAAGGGTAAACATTTTTCACAACTCTATCCACCAATTTCTGAGGAAATACTTTTCCTCCTTTTAAAAAAATAATAATAAAAATTGGAAGAGAGAGAGAGAGAGAGAGAGAGAGAGAGAGAAGGGAAAAGGCAATAAAGAAAAATTTGTGAAACTTCATATAATATGTACTATGTGCGTATGTAGAGGATGCTCAATCGATTAGCGTGTAAAGTGTGCACGGTATCGTACAGTCAACGGCATACTCCTCGCATGGTGGTAATAAACGAGTAACCTATATTCGTCCTTACGTAAAATAGCCAAAAGGGTCATTGTATTGATCATTGAAATATCTTCGAAATCGCGATTGCGAATGAACGACAAGTTTATACGATATAAATAAATTTAATTGTTAATAGAAACTAATGAATTTCGCGTAAGGAAACTTTTTGCATACAATGCAAAAAATACGTCTCTTTTCATATTCCCTCTGGTTTTTTTGTATCAATTACAAAATAAAAAAATCAAATCAGCTTTATGCAATTAGATATTGAAATTATTAAACTCTTACAATTAGACACATTTTAGAGAGAGATATTGAGCTCATAAATTTGGATCTAATAAATCAGTAACGATGTGTATCAAATAAAAGAGGAAAAGGAAGAGAAAGAGAAAGAGGAAGATGGAAATCACTGGCACACTCGAGAAAAGATGAAAAATTAGGAGAACCTCCTCAGATGACTGATATTGTTGAGATGTTATCGTGATAATATTCGTGATATTATTTCGTTCGTTACTCCACGTAGACCGAGTCCAAGAACCAACGAAAGCGACAGCCGGTTGTATCGTGATATCGTGTTAACGCTAATACCAAGTCACCGAGGAAGTTTGTCACTTTATATAGCGTTTCAAAGGCCGTGGCAGATTGTGCGCGAGGTAGAGAGAGCGTGCAAGGGACACTGGGTACGGATTCTGTACGGAAGGGGGGTGTCCCCTCATACACTGCTAATCCGACCGTAATTGAAGAGAACTCAATGTCATTATGTCTTATGTCCAGGATAGATTAATTCGTGGAGTGCGATTCAACAACCAAATAGATATTCTTCTATCCGCCAAAAATTTTCTTTCCTTTTTATACAAGTATTTACTTAAATATTACCATTAAAAATAAATAATGTCAAAATTATTCTAAGATCAATTATTTTAATAGAGAATAAATTTTGTCCTGAGAGCATAAGAAATAATAACACTTCAAAAATGCAAATACGTATTAGGAGAATGGCGAACATTTTCTAGACAAATATTATTTTCTAATGACTCTGACTTTATATGATTTGTATCTTCAAAAATAGTCTTTATAATTTCATAGCAGTCTTCGTGAGATAGAGCATACTTTGTTCTTATTCGTAAAATTAATTGCAAAACAGATCTCTTTTTATTAATTCGTTCTTTCTTGGGTTCGTTTGAGAATCTTTAACCAATTATACGTGATAGGATGACTTTCATCTTATTTAATAATGTTAAGATAGTTTTTAATTTTGTTGCTTTTTTTCTTTCTTACATCTATACATTTCTTATCGATTCTTATCGATCACATCTATCTTATCGAAAAATTGATAATTATAAGTATATTAAACAATGTTCTGTTCCAACACGTGTGTACTAATATGCTGTTCAAATTTTTAACGAAAAATCCTGCCAATAAATAACATTTACTTTGAAAAGATTTCTTGTTTGATTTTTTTTTTCTAGTGACGCTTTCTACGACTACGTAAAAATCATCTTTTTTTTCCTCATAATAGATTACGCGAGGTATTTACGTGCAAGGTAAAACTTTACAATTAGCGTTCTTTTTATAAAGAGAAATCTCTTTTCGTGAAATAATGAATCGTATTATTTAAATAGTCGTGTTTCTCTTTATTAAAACTATTGATATCGGTATTGATATCGATATGATATTAAAGGAGTACAACATATTATTATTCGCACTTCTAATTCTATAAACGTTATGCGCGTATTAGGACGAATAGAAGGGACGAATAGCAGCACCTGGCTTCTACAGAAGCATGTAATGGTAACACCTTCCAATTACACAACTCCTATCTTTTTTCATTAGACTAGAATCACATTTTCATGAGAAAAGAAGAAAAGGTATTTTTTGTTTAAAATACATTTTCTGTCTTGGTTCTGTCAACAAAATGATCATAAACGTAAGAAAACAAGATTACATCCACATATGCATGAATAAATTAGTTTGCATATCTATTAAATTTTCGATATCTCGGAAAGAATTATGAAACAATATTGAGGAAAGCTAGCTTAATACCGTCTTCAAAGTCTTTTTAAAAAACTTTGTGAAAGAGAGTATTTAAAAGATCGGATCGAGAGCGTGATCTACGTAATTAGCGGGTACGTAAGCACGTGGCAAATGGGTGTACGAGAATACTATTCGTATATACATATACACATATTTACGTATAGATATTATATTTCATCATAATTTGTAATTCGCATGTTTCATATAATTTGAAAAAAAGGAAGATAACAACTGAATAGTCTTTTGATTAGTTCGATTTCGAGTCATTTACTTATTAGATATAGTTGAACTGTAAGAACATAATCGATATGGAAATATATTTCGTGATCTATGTTTAATAATTACTAACACATTAAGAATATTAAGAGTTGCTGAATCATCTTTACGTAAATATCTATGTACATAAGTATTTCCAAATCATTGTATTATTATTCTCAATATTGTGTATCTATGTATTATGAATCATTAACGTGCGCGACAATTACGATCGTACTTTTATCAGTTTGCAGTTTATTAAATACATATTTACTACAGTTAAAAAACTTATATTATATATTTACAATGTAACTTTTCTTTTATGTAACTATTCTTTTTCATTCAATTCTTTATTTTTGTTATTTCATTGAAATAAATAAAATACTTTTATTTTTGCCACCAATTTTGATTTCGAAAGCGACCTCACTGAGTGCGATTACTTTTTTCTAACTACAATTCTAAGTCCAGTGATCCCATTCGTACGATAATTATCGTACGCGTACGATAATTTGAGGCCTTGTACGATCCAAAATTCAGCCTGTACGATCCAATTAGGAATTTCGAAAACTTGATGACCTTTTTTTTTTTTTAGTCNCAGGTGCACCCCCACCACCACCACCACCACCATCACGATCCGTGTACGATCTGTGTACGATCTCTGTATGAAGAAGTATTTGAACTTGACAAAGGTTTTGAACTTGAGGACTAAAAAAAAAAAGTCATCAGCTTTGAAAAAGTTGGAACTTGCACTCTTTTTCCAGATTTTGAAAATTTCGTCCGAGAAATTATCGGATTTCAAATTTTTCCCGGGGCGTACGATAATTTTACGCCCCTGTGTCGATCAGACGAACTAAAGTCTCTGGGATCACTGATTCTAACCTCCAAATACGATGCCAGTTCTGTATGTTAGTTCTGTAGGCCAGTTCTGTATAGTTATTTTACGAAGTACTTGATATAAGTTTTAAAGATGTTTGCTCGATTGGTTAGTAACATTGTTAATGCATTGCCGTAAGTATTTTTGTCTTTTCGTATATCATTAATATCCAATTGTGTGAAATAATTCATTGAAAAAATATTTGATTCTAATAGAGGTAACAAATGGGTTATGGGTTGCAATGGGTTCACTCGATTTTTGAATTTAGCACTTGGACCACCGAATCAGTGTCAACGAAATTTTGCATCTAAATCAAAATTCTTTTATATGACAAAACCGAGGTATAATTTTCCAAGACCTTCCGAATACAAACGCGTTACGAGACTTGGGTGGCATGCAAGAATGTCAACGCCTGAAGGTAGAAGAATTCTTATGAGAAGAATATTAAAAGGCAAACATGTATTGAGTCATTAACGTTATTGCCATTGTGTATTTAATATTATACAATATTAATAAAGATTATGATCAAGCTTGCAACGAAACTTTACACTTTGTACTTTCTTCTAATTCAGGTATGTTTTTAAATTGCAACTGTTTGCAAGTCCAGTCAAATGGTGATATTAAAGGTGCTTCTATCGTCAGAGATTCCTTTCCTGAGATATTTGGTAAAAATACACTTCGTGCATGAATATGGCAAGGTATTAGTTCTTGCTTAGCTTTATTTAAATATAAAATTTCTAATAATTCAGGACTAATGGTAGGTAAATAATTAGTTACTTCTGAAAAAGGATTTACCAATAACCATTTGCCTGCGACGTTATGTATTCTTGATCCATATAAATTATCTCCCAAAATTGGAGCATATAATCTGGTCGAAGCGTATAATCTTAGAGCGTGCCATTTGATGGTCGATGCTTTTATTTCGATTAAAGAACTTAAATTTTTTGTTGAATTGGAAATGACTTTAAATTGGACATTTAATATTTTGATTGCTCTTCGTTTCTCTGCATTCTTACTCCATTTATCGTCTATGACAATCTATAAATGAAAATCAAGTAAATGTTATCTATTTAATATTACTTAAACATATTTTTATATATAAAATTACCTTGCTTTGGGATCTAGACGAATTAAACTGTTTTCTCATGCACAAATGTTCGTCTCCTTTTATTTGATTTGGTACTCTTACAGTAATAATCCAGTATGTTTTATTCAAAATATTCTTTCCTATTGATTTTATGTAAGAAGAATTGATAGCTTTTTGTACCGTATCATTTGCAGCTAACAGTGTTACACCACTCATAAATCTGTACAAATTAATCAAATTCATACAAATTTATAAATATACATATTGAATATTTTTCCTTATAGATAACTTACTTTTCTGGTGCTTTAACTATAACTAATTCAGAGTATCCTAATTCCTTAGCAATAAATTCCATACTATTGTCTAAAGTATAATCTACTCCATTAAGTACTTTAGTATAAATATTAGGATCCCTTTTGTTTATAATATTTGACATTTTAGGAGATATTCCGTATGGTTTATTTATTGCAACCAATCCATCTGTAAAGAAAAAATAATTTAATGATTTAACTTTAATTAAAATCACTTAACTATGCACAATAAATTAATTAACAACAAACCTTTGTTGTATAAAACATTTTTTAACAAATACTTGGAAAAACTTTCCTGAGATTTCCAAGGATGCAATTTGCGATAATGATGGATTATTTTCTCTTTTTCCAAGATATTTTTGACATTGCCACTGAAATATTTATTGAGTTGTTTATCAATCATGCAATTGCATGATGATCCCAATAATGATCGACATTTTAATATCTCTCTCGCATTCTGCATATTAATTAATATTTTCTGCTTTTGTTACTTTGAAAAAAAAAACTAAATAATAATCAAATATATTATTTGGTAATGTTTTGAAATGTCAACATGTCACTTAAAAATGATTAAGTGTTTAGTATAGAATAAAATTGTGATCAAAATTACATTCAATATAATATAAATATGCTTTTATTTAAATATCGGCATTTATCAAAATAAAAATATACTCATCATATAACGGACATTACTTAGCGGAAAGATCCTAACCTATTTTAATAGATTAGTGTACCTACATATGTCCATCATGAGGAGCAGAAAAATATAACCTGATTGGCCGATTCCAGCAGAGATTTAACAACCAATGAAATATACGGTTTATCGTAGCGCCAATTTTAAAATTATACATTGTATTTTTGTATCTTTTCATTCCTAAAATAGATTTATTTCATTCCAGAAAAATCCAGAAATAAATTTCCTATTTTATTGCTAAAATCCTTCTTTTTTGTAGATTATAAATGATTAGATAAAGATGATAAAGCAATAACTAAAATGTGAAATGAATCTTTTTTGTTACTACTGACTTTGATCAAGAAGGTATAGATAAAATAAAATAAAATAAAATAAAATAAAATAAAATAAAATAAAATATAATAAGTACACACGCACATATATTACATAATAAATTTTCTTTTATCTTTATCTTTTTCTTTATCTTCTTGTTTTTCCTTTTTTTAGGTTTAGTCCTTTCTGAAATGAATAAGGCTTCCAACTTACATTAAAGATACATCTTGAAAATTGAATCGTCGGGAGACGCGATAACAAAAAGAAACATTCCGCAAATATTTATGCAAATTCAATAAAAAGAATAAATAGTTTATTTATATTGAGAAAGATAATGTTCTATACACAGTATAACAGTTGTATTTTGACTTATCATATTAGATGTGATTAGGTACAGATAATGTACTATCATATGAAAGTTAATAGGCGAGCTTTTCTGAAGGGAAGTTTTTTTTTTTTAAAGAAAAAAACGTGCACGAGCCTGCATAACTTTATCGGAATGTATCTTTGTAAAAGAGAGAAAATTCAAAACCTCGATTTAAATCGAGAGGCTTGAAAGCCGTGAGTAGGTGCCGGCTGTAAATTAAATCTTATTGGTCTTACGACTTTGGCAGTTTTGCCGTTTGGAGATGAGACGGTTTGCTTGAAAGCTCTAGCGACTTTTGGTCGGTAACGATACCACCAATATTCGAAAGCTAAGGTTATACAAGCGAAAGCGATCCCTACGAAAATCACTACGAAGACACCACCGATGTTGTGAATGCTAATACCATCGCTTTGCTCATCTTCCTTTCCGCAGTCTTTCCTTTCGGGATTATGTTTCCACCATTTATCCTTTAATTTCTCCAATTTTCTTTTATTTAATAAAATTAGAATGCTGCGTATGATAACAAATAAAATGACCAATTAAATATCTCTTATATATAAAGAAATGTGCTCAGAAGAGTAGGATTATTCCATATATTATGATATTATTACATACGCATTATTAAATTGATCTTTCAACGGTGAACCTTGTTGCACTGCAATGGCATAAGGCTTCCTTGAAAATTCTTCTCCCACTTGGGTAACATCACAATTTGTCATGGCGAGATATTTAATTGTGGATGCATCTGCGATATAAGCAAATTCGTTATTCGAATCAAGACGAAGAACTCGCCTAATTGCTTCGTCCACGGTAGCTGGAAAATTAGCTTCTTTCATAGCCTGAAACATTTTCGTGTATTTATCGCTGACAGGATATTCCCATACGGCTAATTTAGCCCTTTCGACTTCCGTCAAGCTATCATTTAAGCTCATATCCTTCCATATCCTGCAAATGAAAATTGACTGATGATGAAAATGAATAATACATACATGAATGAAAATGAAAAATCCTATAAAATCTCATAAAATCGTATAAAATCGTATAAAATCCTCCGTATCTTATGAATCAATTGATCATTCTTCAAACTTACTCGTAAAATTTTGCCTCGATGTGAGCCATCCTTTCAAAATAAATATAAGCCGCAGAATTTCTAACAGGAGCGTACTGAATCTTGTACTGTTTGCTAAGATCGTCCAAAGATTCGATCGGCGTATCGAGTCTAGAAACGGTGAGAAAAGCAGCAAGATTAGCCGTATAAGAAGCGATTATGATGAATCCAAAAAGCCACCAAGTAGCAGCAACGAGACGTCCTGAAAGATTTTTTGGTGCCTCACCACCACCCTGGGGTGTCAAGGAGGTCATACAAAACCAAAGACATTCCTTTAAATTGAACTCTCTCTTCTCCTCGTCGTCCTTGTACTTTTCACGATTGTTTTGATAACTATATGGTGACCAACGGTCAAATACCCACATGAGGAAGCTCGTAAAAAAATAAGCAGCGAGTATGCAAAACCAAACTTCGTTTTCGAGGACAGTGAGGAACTTAAACAGGGACGTTTGAGTTTTTGGTTTTAACATCATTATCGTTAAACCAACGAGGTCGTAATAAGGGACAGTAAAGTCAACGACTTTTTCTCTTTCCGCCATAACCCAAAGAGTACCGAGGGCGATATCAGCTCGTTTCTCTATTAACTCTTTTATCATACCGTTCCAACTACCATTCTCGCTCATCTCACCGTAATTATCTATCGCTCGTATGTCGTATTCGAACTCAACGGTTTGTCGTATTTCGTTAAGCAAATCAATGCAAAAACCATACCATTCGCCAGTTTCATTTTTGTACATAACAAACGGTGGATGGATCACCGTAACGATTCTGTAGCTCGTCACTGCAGTATTGTTTACGATAATGTTGTTGCTCACCTTAGAAAAAGACAAGTATAATATGAATTTCATTTTATATTTCAATAAAATGAAATAAAATAGTTGTCCCTACCCTCGATAAAAAAAAAATAATCGCTCATATCCCTAACTAAATAGCCTCTTTAGGCTGTTTAGTTAAAAGAAGAAATTATGGAGATATTAGGAAATATTATGACTGTTACTTGCCTCCAGTGGCGTGTTTATTCCAGCAGACCAACTGCCGGTATTCTCGGTGGAAACTATCGTCTCTTTCTCGATGTAGACCAAATTAATAGACATACTAAAATCGGCACCGTGTTGTCCATTCTTTTCGCCCCATTGGAAAGCAGCATAACTTGGCGTTAAATTTTTCGACGTAATCCGAAGTTTCTCGAGAAAATCAAAATTCCTGCTAGGTGTATTGTTACCGTTGTAATCGTCGCAACTAATGTGAAAGGGTTCGAGTGGCCAATCTTCTTGTTCTATCGCGAATTTCATACTTTCAACTCCGAGTAAAGTCAAATCGTAATAAAAAGCAGACGATAAAAAGGGACTAGGTAGAATAGCTTGGAGAGATTTGTCGAAACCCTTGTTACTCTCTGTCTCTTTCCATTCTGGTTTCATGAAGAGGAGAGTGATATTCTTGCAACTGCAGTTTGGCCAAATATCTTTATCCAAAGTGAAAACGAACCAACCATACTTGTGACCGATAAAATTTAAAACCTCCGCGGTTTGAAGAACCATATGAATAGTTTTTTCGTCTCCCAAAATGAAATAATTAACAACGTCCAAATCACGTAGACGCGAAAGTTGTTCCTTCATATCTTTGACATTTTGAGCAATGTTGTTAATTACGTGTCTCGTAGGTACATTCAGCAATAGACTGTTGTATTTGTAGCTCATATCAAAGTTACGATCAAAGAGTATAGCTGCGTTGGTGACCTTAAGGTAAATGGCCAATCGTCTGATCATCTCTGGCAACAAATCGGCAGGTGGCATTACCTGAACGAGATAAGAACTCTTTTCATTGTCCAAATTATTCCAATATCGTAAATCTTCTTCTTGGCCAAATTGAGCGGATAAGGTTGGCAAACCGAGTGCACTGGAAAACGAGTTGGACGCTTCGACGCTCCAACCGGCGATTGCCGTTGATAAAACAAAGTCCGGCACAGTGTCTGCACCTTTGCTGATGGCTTTTTCCCAAGCATTGCATATTCGATGGAGAGATTCTTGGGGATCGGATCCGTTTGTTTGGACTGAATAAACTTGTCCTAAATGCCCATGGTATTTATCCCGAAGCGTTTTTAGGGCTACCTCTATGCTTGCGTTAGCTATCTCGTTGCTCTCGTCGTTGATTACAACTGCAAAAACCAAATATCTTTTTTTTATTTCTTTCTTCTTGTGGGCTATTAATTAATATGTCGATTGGTATTTACAAAAAGGATATGGGTACAGAGAAGAGAGTGCAGAAAATATTTCTATACAAAAATTCTCTTACAAATATTGACCGGCCTGGAATTCGTCGTAGGCTCCTTTTTCTTTCGATCTTCTATTTCTTGACCATYGACGACGACGACGACTGGGGACTTTGGCAAAATAATGCAAATAACGATTGAAACGAGACAAATAGGAAATGCAAAGTTCATGGTCGAGAAATGAGTCGATAATTTACTCCTTCAAACTTTTCCCTTCGACATTTCTTTACCGAGGCCTAACTTCGAGAAAGTTATGGCTTGATTTTCGGCGACGCGAGGATATCGCTCGCTTCCCGAACAAAGCTAGTTTTCCAACTGAACGAGCAGTGTTCAGTGTTTCCCTTCCCTTATTTGTGTTTGTCCATTGGTTGCCGCGGGGATGACCCAATCAATCCTTCGGACTTTCTCGCCTTCATTTTTACAAAGGATCTATACATTATTGCCATCCTAATTAATATCTAATCATTAGCTTTCTCTTTTCTTCCTATATCCGATATTGTTCAATCATTTCGTCGTATCAAATGGCTGGATCATAATCTGGATTGGACTTTGCTTTCTTTTTTGTTTGTTTATCTACTTATGTTAATAAAGTTATCGAGTCTTTAAGATAAAGGATTGGACAAGCTTCGAGCTCGTAGAACCGAGGTATTAAAGGCATAGGTATTAAAGTTCATTCTCTCGCTTTTAGCTTTGAAATCTCGCACTTATCTACGTGCGAGATCCACGAAACCGTGCGAGTTAATTTATGCAATTGGCCTCGCGATTATGCTTCTACGTAAATATATATATATATATATCGCTGCAAGACCACAAAAGAAATGAAAATAAAAAATAAAATTCGGTCTGTGCTCGAGTTCACATCAGCCAATCGATTTAGTTTAATTATATTGTATATTGCCGACAAAAAGATTAACTTTGGCGAAACTCAATGGCGAAATAAAATAGTTGGACAAAATGTAACTCGGAAAAAAATTGGAGAAACGTTGCTTTACCTACTTTGCAAATGAAAAAGAAAATGTTGAAATCGAGGCCAGATTTGTTCCTACGATTATACGAAACCCAGACGAAAAGGTTAATCTCGATATTTCATGTCTCGCGAATGAAACCGTTAGGTATCGTTTTTTCTTTTTCCTTTTTCCTTTTTTTTTCTTTTTGTGAAAAATTGTAAGATCATTCTTTCTCTTTGTTCCTTATCGTTGCAATTGTCCGCACGTTTCTGTAAACTGTTTTTCGTTTGTTATTAAGGGAAGAAATCGTCTTTCACTAATCTACTTTTTTGTTTTCCACTGAGAAGCGTTTCTATGGGAATGAGCGCACGATAAACGATAAACGGTAAACGGTAAATGGTAAATGGTAAATGGTAAATGGTAAATGGTAAATGGTAAACATTCGTTTAGCAAATAACTTCGATTTATTTACTTTCTCCTTCCCTAATCCCATGTTTGTGCACGTCCGCAATTCTTTCGTTCGCCATTTACTCGAATTTACTTTTTCGTAAGTAGGTCAAACAAATGAAAGACCGAAAAAATGAATATATAAACAATAGTTATAAAATATGTACATACGACTATTGATTAATCACTCTGACAATTAATCGAAGCAATCCGTTAATATTTAGTCGTCGACGCTTTTTTTCCCTCTTTCAGTTATATCATAAATAACTAACACCAATCATTAATAATCTTGGGGGAAAAAAAAGTATAAAGGAAAAAAAAAATAGTTAACGATCCTAGAATTACTTTTAAAATGCATCCACTTATCGCTTGAACGTTAAACTAATCGAACAAAAGGAACGACACGCAAAGCGAGTGACAGAAAGCAGTCGAGATCTAATCGCGATTTGCACGTTATATATGGACTTTTGTAAGACGAATAAGTATTATATATATGTGGGGTGGATGGAAGTTCCGGCGTAGTATGATTGTGTGCGTGCGTGCGTTTAAAAAAAGCTCCCGCTTGCGCAAGCGGCTATGCTATGCTAGCGCGTGGCAGGATGTTTGGGTGCGTAAGAACATGGACATCAAAAAAGCTTGGAGAAATTGTTTATCCACCATGGTTGCGTCAGGGTGGTGGGGGCGCGAACATATGACAAGAGTGATATATGATAAGATGTGAGTAATATGCGATATACGTCCTAGTAGAACATATTCATAATCGTCTTGTTTTTTAATCAGATTTCTACTGGGGTTTGCTTTTTTCTGTTTTTTTTTTTTTTTTTTTTTTTTTTTTTTTTTTTTTTTTTTTTTCTAAAGTAAAAAGTGAACGAACGAGGAAAATTTTTAATTGCATGTTTTTTCGTCGTTACGCAAAGTTTGGCCTTTTGTATGCGACGACGTTGCTCTAGTAGGATGATGTTAGTCTTTTGTGAGGGAAAAATGGTTAAGTACATTTTTAGTAGTACTACTGGTACTTGTCTCTGTTACTACTACTATTACTGTTGTTGAAATTTCTATTTTTTCAATCTTCATTCAAGCTCGTTCGTGCAATTTAAGATAACGATGTTGTTGCACATGTGTTACATACATGGAAGAAAATGAGCGTAATTAAAGCACGACAGTTAAATTCTAACTATAATATGATATAAGTAATATGATTTGGCTTAATTAGCATTTTGGTCGTTGATGGTAATATGTTGGAACGGACAGAGGGAGAAGAAAAATAGAACAATCGACGGTATAGTATTTTCTAATATCAATAATCGCCAACTCTTTTATGGTTTTAATATTATAACATAGAGGACAAAACGATGGATTATAAAAAGTTTCCAAATAAGAATCTTTGTGTGTAGCGGATACTGAATATTTTTAATCAATGGTCGTTTCTTTTCGTTCACATTTATTCGAAACGATGCATAATTGTAACGATGTATAATGTAATAATAATATTAATAATAAAGTAACAGTTCGATTATCGAAACGTTTAAAAGGACGAAGGATCATTTGTTTGGAATGCAGTCGAAGAAAGAAAACAAAATAAGATAAGAAAATAATAATGAAAAGAAAATATTGTAACAATTGGGTGACAGGTTGCTTCTGACACGAGTATCGGATCGTGTATGCTGTATAATAAGTCGATCGTAATTAGTGTCTGTCTCTTCTTTTCATCATATCATCTTTCGCTTATCACCGAGTTCACGTAATTGCATTCGAACTTGTATTCCTAGCCCCTATTCGTACGGGGATTTAGTTCGGAAATAATTGCGCATTATTATTTCCGCGAATACTTTGATTAAAGGAATATTTATAGTATTTGAATATTCCTTGTACGCTCAGATATTATCGACTAAATTTCTCTTCGACAACGTTATCATAATATGTTATTATTCGGATATTTGTTATATATATTTACATGTTCAAGCGGCAGGCAGTTTATCGCACGATAAACGTTTGGTTTATTTTCTGTATTTTTTTCTTTTTCTTTTATCTTTGTTCTTTTTAAATTAATCTTTCGTTCGTCGTTTTCCATTTCATTTTATTTGTTCAATCTTTTTCGAGATGTATGATGATGTTGTTCTTTCCCTATCGATATAGGAAATATTTCAATATTATACATGGATAAGTAATTACGTACTTATACAGATAAAACTATCTGCACGTAATATTTCATTCGCGATTATTTGTTTCTTTTTGAAATAGAATTTGAAAACGAACAAACGTCGCTTTCAACCTTCAATACCTTCTCGTAAAACTTGTCACCTTTCGAAAAATCTTTCATTTATTTTTCTGCTAAAACGATGAGTCTCGTCAATAATCTTTCATTTTCTATAATTGTTATAATTGTTTTTGTATCGATCAACATTCCTATATATCATATATGTACACGTATAACAATATAAATCTAACAAGCATAGTTCCTCGACGATCAAAATGGTCTCCCGATTTTGGAAGCTCGTTTTCTCCTATTTCCTCGCTCGCATTATTCATATCATTTCATATCATTTGATAGAAATATTTCGATAACTCGGAACAAAATGACGGAGATACGGGCTCTGTACGAAGAATTATATCTATATGTATATGTACAAACGAGGAAAAGAAGCTCCATACGTGTTTATACATTACATATGCATAATCGAGCTCCTGTATTGCTATACTTGTAAATCACAACCAACGGAGTATTAGTTTATTAACTAATATAAGTTAATGTGGCATTATGTGTATGTGTGTGTGTGTTTGTTTGTTTGTTTGTTTTTTTATTTGAAAATCGGACGTCCATTGTAACGTAGACGGTGATAGTTCGATTCACCAATCGTAACGTTACGAGTTTGAAGAAAATTTCTAGTTTTGTTTTTGTTGCTAAACGCTTAAGGGTTCATTCTGGTTTATCATTTTGAAAAAATCAATTTTTTTTTTTTTTTACATTCTTCGAAAGTAGACATATGTAGAATTATCATATAAAAATTTTAGAACGATCCGAGCAGTTTAAGTATATTATTTTGCAACCCAAACACATAGAGATATTACTGATAAAGGAGACAAACCATCTGCGATGGTGTAAGTGGAAATGTCTCTGCATGAATATAGCAGCAAAAAACAAAAGGTTGATGTTGACCTGACAAAAACAGAATTACTTGAAAGATGTTTAGGTGGCCACACATTTAAAATAATAATGAGTGCTTCAACAAATGCGTTTGGGCTATGGTGCCTAAACACCTATTTAACCCTTTGACTGCTACAGACGCATATATGCGTCTGTCGGAAGCTATCGGTATGGACTAAGGACGCATATATGCACTTTCTGTAAGTGTTCGGCATGGACTAAGGACGCATATATGCATTTGTCAATTTTTCGAGCACCTACACAGAATTAATACCATTATGCGTCTGTGAGATACGTATAAATGCATTCCTTAGCAACGGCAATAAACAAATGCCAAAAATGCATTATATTATAATATATATAAATATATATATATTATATTATATTTATTAAATTTAGTTTTTCAGTTTATTGTTTTCTATTTTGTTACACAAATTTTAGTTTATTTTAAGTTTCAACGTCAATAATAAGGAATACTAAAAAATAATACTAATAAATAATTAATTCTAAAAAATAACGCTCTTGAATTATTTAATCTCGTACGAAAGTACGATTTATGCTTTGAGTAGTTCATCAACAGAGTTCAGTCTACCGAAAAAGTATTCAGTCCATAGCGATCGTTAGTACTCGCCGCGCGCCGTCCGTACGGACTGCATAGGCCAGGAGTGTTCAGCAGTCAAAGGGTTAATGGTAAAAAAATTGTTGAAATAGCTTGTAAATTGGCAGCTTGTATATTCAACGAAGGTTTTGATCCAATACTGAAAATAATGCACATTTTGGAGATAAAACTTGGTCCTATCGCAGTCAATTACGCAAGTAATCGCGACAACACGCGTGTGCGCTCAGCCAATCGTTTGAGCGGAGAATCTTTGATAGAGGCCAGGACACAACAAAAAAAGGCTAGAGTGGAAGAAAATGAGTATTTTGAAGAAGCAGAAGGCATACTGTATGGTGCAGGCATCGCAGAATAAGGTAAAGTYAGACTTTTTAAAAATTTGTTAAAAGAAACTTTAAACGCGTTTTTCTCGAAACAACGTTTTTTCGGTTGGCGGGCATGATATCTCCAAAACTACTCAACCGATCCTTCTGAAATTTTAATCACATACTCTAAACATGAATGGCTATCTCGCATGCTACAACCAAGTCAAAATATTAATTTTTACTATTTTTTTTTTTACAAAAAAGTGCGAAAAAAATGGCCGTCATTTTGTTTTGTTTTCATAAAAATTGATAGTTTTAGCATACCCGATAGCCATTGTCATACTGAATTTAAAACCGTTTAATTTTTTTCTTTTAGATCACCCGTTCGCAAATTTCGATGCCCGCTAACAGCATACCTGTTTTTGAAGGGTTTATGTTTGTCAGCCATTTTGAATGTCAAAAAATGTTAAAAACAATAAAAAAAAAATTTTTTATCGTACTTCTAGAGTGTATTTATCATACCCAACAACTTTCATATGTTTATGTATCCTACAAAGCCTAAAAAAAAAATCATGAAAATAGCCTTTTTTTTCGGCGTATAAACCAGAATGAACCCCTAATGTAGATTTTGATTTCTCTATTTAATAAGATCGAATGATTTGGTTATCATATTGATAAACGTTTCGATTAGCGAATCGCCCGATGTATATAAATATGAATATCGACCGAATGATTTGTAATACGTGGTACGATATAATACATATTGTATACTATATAAATATCATATGTTTTACGTATGCTCGCGCACGTATAATACATATGTATATTCATATAGCGTCAAATAATACATTTATGCATTTCCAAAATCTCGTTTTAGAGAGACAAAGAGAGATGAATAAACAGAAATAGAATTTGTCGATTGATAAAACAAGTATCATTGCATTATCGTGTGTTTTCTCATTATCAGGTGAAGGATTAAAATAAAACAGTTAAATATCATTTATATGAAAGTCGTTGAACGAATTAACATGTTATTTACAAACATTTCTCATTTACTTCACGAAAAGAAAAGCAATTAATTTCATATATGGACAAATTTTGCAATATTAAATTGTTCTCATCATTCAATGATAATATTTTCACGAATGACTCGTTGAAAGATTAATGATATAAATTGTAATGTATAAGTGAGACTCTAGAAGAAGAAGAAATGTTCGTTTTGGACCATAGATAATAATAATTTGAATAAATAATATTACGAATATTTCCTTCCTCGTTCGTAAAGAGTCTCGCTGTATTATCGATAATCAGTTCATTCGATGTCTCTTTCTGTCTCTCTCTCTCTCTCTCTCTCTCTCTCTCTCTCTCTCCTTCTCTTTCTCTTCATGTCTACATTTGTTATTTGATCATTCTTTGTTTATTCAATTAAATTTATTATTTTATTCGCTAAGCTTAAATTTAAAATCTTGTGACGTCCGTAGCACGGCTACGAAGCGTATATATCTCACAACCTTATCACAACCTTATTATAGAGTGCCCTTGCAACGAAATCGTGGCTTAATTTGTTAGAGCGGCACTCGAGAGGGGAAAGTTCAAGTTGGAAGGGAAAAAGGAGTCAAAAGGAAGGGTCGGAACCCTCTCTCACTTGTTTTTTTTTTTGCTTCATTTTTTTTTTTGTTCTTTCTCTCTACATCATATATTATCCTCTCCTGTTCTCTTCGTAATTCGATCTTATTCTTTTTTTTTTTTTTTATAGTCGCATGATACACAACATACGTTCTTATTTTCCTATGCATATACACGTGTATTTCGCTTTTACGTCGAGTCAAATTCTCAAGGAATCCTCGAAACGAGAGAAAAGTACTCTCGTACTTTCTTACTTACATATTTTTCTCTTTTTGGACAAATGAATATACGTACACCCGTAGACACAAATGACTCGTGGCAAGAGTTGCTTGCGTCACTTTTTATGCATTTTCTTTCATCTTATTATTCTTATTATTATTATTATTTTATTATTAAATCTATATGATAATGTATAACGAAGAAGATTCAAAATTGTTTATAGTAGTTGATTTTTTGTCTTGAATAAATGCACACTCCTGTGCTGTGCTCATTCGGGTGATCAATACGATTCGACAAATTATTTTTTAACAATGACACGCGCGACGAGATAATGGAGTAGTGGTGTACCACGCCTCTTTTCGCACATTTTTAATGCGCTTTTACTTACGTTTCTTTTTTTTTTTTTTATACATTTGTGTACGACGTGTATATTTGTATGTATGTATTTATGTATTCGTGTTATGTATACAAGACCGAAAACAATTTTCATAAATAATCTCTTATATGTTACGTATGTCGTATTACAGGCTAATAGCACAACCTTTGAATCTTTACCTTCGTTTTACTTAGTAAATCTGTTTGTATTTTTGAAGCATTGGTCGTCTTTCGTGACGTATTTTCTTTCTTTTTTTTTTTTATCTTTTTTTTCTTTCTTTCATTTCGCTTTTAATTCAAAACTTTGAATTGCAGTTTTAGTTATATCGATACTCACAACCATAATCGTGTTTTACGAACGATAAATATATAATATACCTTCTATCGTTAGGTTTTATCTAAAATACACAGGACTTTTCCTATTGTGGCTAAATATTAACGAAACTTATATTCGATCGATTATCTTTTCCTTTTGATGATAAAAAGATGATTGTACTCTTGGGGAAAGAGAAGGATATTCGTCGAAATCGACTACGAGTTTAATTACATTTGTTCTTTTCATTTCTTTTGTAAATTATCTTTGAGCTAATGCAACGCGTAGATAACGTTAAATAGAAAAAGAAAAAAAAAGAAAAAAAAAGAAAGAGAGAATAATAAGCCAGCTAAGTAAGTAATACGAATTAAAAGTATTTTCTATTCTTCCATTTTGACAGCGAAGAAGAAAACTTTAAACGCGTGGCTTTAAAAGGTTCACGTTAATTGTTACACACGATAATTATGACAGTGGACTTAATTATAAATTGAAAAAAATGTTTAATTATATGATTTATCTTGTAATACGCGAATAATGCGAATAATCGATTTGTTGACTAAATAAACTGTATAATATGTGATTGATAAAAAAAAAACCGTTCTCCTTCTTGTTCCTAATTTCGACAGGACAAATCGACTGGAGTGTCCCATTGGTTGAATAAATTGTCACGATCGTACTGTTTGATCGTACCAAACGTCTCCCACAGTTTCTCGTTAATATTTCATTATGATCGATCTGGCCAGCTTAAAGCGAATAATTAAATACGAATATCGAATTAACGTTCCATTTAACAAGAACGAGTTAGAGAAAAAGAAGAAAAAAAAGGAGTTTCTTTTTTTTGGTCTCTATTATCAAAAAGGTTAATTCGTTTGATTTGTTGATTCTTCGTCAAAGGGAACAAAAAATGAAACGGAGTATGCAATAGACGATAAAATCCATCGGAACGAGACGTTCTTATTTTTGTTCGTTTAATCCTACTTTGTTTGATAAGAAAGCTACTAAAAGTCAACGAAATCGTCCTACTGGAAAATCTCTTCTCTTCTCTTCTCTTCTCTTCTCTTCTCTTTTCTTCTGTTCTCTCGAAATCGATTTCCCTGAGAATCCTTCCTTCCTTTCTTCCTTCCTTTCTTCCTTTCGTCATTTTCTCAACATTCCCCAAGAGAACTATTCTCTTCTTGGACGCAGAAATAAAGGAACGATTCTACTACGTTCCAACGTTTCTATGTTTTAAGATGAAAATCTCTTTTTCATTTGTTGGTACTATTTAAAAAGGCGTATTTTCACCGATCGCGAATACTTCCTTTATCCAAACGTACTCGTCGTATTGCGTACTACAACATTGTTAAACCTTTATCTACCTATCTAGATTATACTCGAGTTTCAAATGATTTTTTGAACAAGTCGTCAATTTTACGTCAAATTATCTTTACACGCAAGTTTTGTCCATTTCCAAACGAATTTTGCATAAATCGATACGGCAATTTGGTTTTTTTCTCGCGAAAAAATCGTCTAGAAGCATCCATCATTCCTTGTTTCTCTACCACATAATAATGTACACGTACATACGTACTTATGCATATGAAGTTGTTTGAATTTCCAACCGAGAAACTATTGCAGAAACTAACGAGTGTTTTCGCGAAATATCTCACTCGTACGTACATGTACGATTATACTTCTTCCCTTTTCACGAATGTTCTTCATGTCTGTAATGAGAGAGAGAAAGAGAGAGAGAGAGAGAGAGAGAGAGAGAGAGTTAAACTTTTTAAACAAATTCAATTGTCTCTAGCTTAAAAATTGATCAATAAATGGGTTAATTATTAATCGTGATCACATTCGCGTTATAGAAAAATATTCTTTGATATAATTGAAAATAATAGAAAATCATTGATGAACTAAATACGCGATTATTCGTTAAATACGAATGAACAAGAATGAAATTTGAAGCACTACTGTTCTTGTTACTCCCCCTCCCCCTACCCCGTTTGCTTTCATTAGACCGATATCATGGTCGATGGACTTTCGATGTTAAGTTTTGATAGGAGAATAAAAAGAAATGATCGAAACGGGCATGATCCGATTATTCGATTATCCTTGTTTCGTATTTTAGTTGAAAAACGGATTAACGATTTAACACGAAAGATATTTCCATCTATAGGAAATTGTAATAAAAACGTCTACCCCTACGATTAAAATAAGTAAAAATAAATCTCTCTCTCTCTCTCTCTCTCTCTCTCTCTCTCTCTCTCTCTTTCTCTTTCTCTTTCACGATGAAGATTGTACGCAAGTCGAACAAATGTCAAGCCAAACGAGAAAGGATCGCATTTTGAATCTATGCAAAATTCATTGAAAAATATTGAAACTCATTATGTATAGAGGAGGAACTAACAACGAAGAAATGCAGTTTTATTTCATTTAGTTTCTCGTTATTCGAAATGTTCATTGTAAAAAAAAATTTTTGATTTGATAGGACTAGGATTAAACTCGTTAGCCCTCGATATCGCTTGGTCGGTTTTAATTTTGCTAGAAAAAAAAGAAGAAAGAAGAAAAGTAAATAGTTTTGAAAGGAAAGGGGATCAGCGAATGCGAAGGAGCTTTCGGAAAGCTCGCCTGTAGTCAAGATTGAATATTGTATAGATGAGGGGATTAAGGGCACTATTGAGGTAACCCAGCCACGTGATGATATAGGAAAGCCTGATGGAAGGACAGCAAGCCGGGCAAAAGGGAACGATGACATACATGAGGAAAAAAGGTAGCCAACAAACTACGAATACGCCCATGATGACGCCAAGCGTTCTTGCCGCTCGTCTCTCCTTCGAAAGAGAGATTCTCTGACGTTCCTCGATGAATTGATAAACCGTTGTAGTGGTCGGAGGATTTTGGTGATGACCGCTACCGGAAGCAGCTCGTCGAGAATTTCCGGTTATACTGCCAGCGGTGGTTGTAGCGGTGGTGCTGGTTCCGGTGCCGGTGCCGGTGCCAGTGCCGGTAGCAGCTGCGTGACCACTACCACCACCACCACCACCACCACCACCACCTGTCGTCACCTCGGTTGGTTCGTCAGGGTCGATCAGCGAGGGCTTAGCGTGGGTCCTAGGCGTTGTCGTCGACCTCTCGTTGTGATTCGTTTCCGAACTGACGGATTCAGCGTCGTCGGCTTCTCGGTGCCTCGTCGATTGTACAGCCCCGAGTCTGCTTTGCCTAGCACGGTCCCTCAATCTTTTTCTCGTAGCGAGAAATATTTCTAAATAAACGAGGCTCATCAAAAATAACGGTATGAAGAAGGAGCCCAGTGCCGAATAAATAACGTAACCCTGTCTCCTCGTCAATTGACAGGGCGTGTCGTCCTCCAATTGCTCCGGCCAATCGTTCCATCCCGCTAAAGGGGGCGAACTAATCGCACCGGATAACACCCAAACACCGGCTATCGTCCCGAGGACTCTTTTTAGCGTACGCTTTTGTGCGTAATTTATTGGATCGGTAATAGCCCAATAACGGTCCAGAGCTATCGCGCAGAGATTTAAAATGCTCGCGGTGCAGCAGAGAACGTCGCAGGTCAACCAGAGCTTACAAAAGTGTATACCGAAAATCCATTTGCCTAGGAGAAGGTAAGCTAGGTTGAATGGCATTACGAGGATCGCCAAGGCCAAATCGGCTACCGCCAGCGAGACGATGAAAAAGTTTTGGACTATTCTCAGGGGCCTATAGGTAAAAACGCTCAGTATCACCAAGGAATTGCCCAGAACCGTTGCTAAAACGATGAATCCGAGGGTTAACGAGGCCACCGCTGCTTCCCAACCTGGCATCCCAAAGTTCCCTTGTGCTTCGGCATCCTCGCACGAGTCCTCGCTCCTCGGTACCACCACCTCGGAATCTTCCGAGACCGACATCGTCTCGGTCATCTTTTCTATTTTTCCCCTCTCGATCTTTTTATCCTCTCGAATCTTGGACGAGCTCGCCAATCGCCTGCTGCTGCTGCTGCTGCTGATCCTGGAACACCATCCAAAACAACAATTCTAACGAAAATCGTTTATATCTTTGTCGACTCATTTAAAAAGATCAATATACATCGAAGGATCCACTCTCGTATTCCTAGGATTACTTCGAAAGAGAAATAATTCAAGGTCTTGATAACACTACATGAGGTCAAAGCCGAAAATCAATAATTCAGAAGGCGAAAGGTAAACCGCTATGAAAGCTTGCGCGCACGGCTTGGAAACGCATTTTGATTTCTATAGGAGCACAGTGGGTATAACACAGTGGGTATAACGCTTGAATGAACATTTCTAATAGGAGTTTGCGTCGCGACTATTAAATAACTTGGCCATAGAGTAAGATTTACCTTCTTCGTCGATTGATTATTTTTTAAGTATCATCTTTGAACGAATAGAAATTCGAGTAGTGGAGACACTGAGATAGATGGCTTTTTAAGTCAAAAGAACATTTTTAGTAGTAAAATGCGTTAATGCGTTATCGAAAAGAAATGAAATTCCAAAACTTAATATTATCTCTCCTTGTTATCGTCTCCTTGTTGTCGTCACCTTGTTGTGTTGCTCCTTCCGCGCATCGCGTCATTTTATTTATCTAAACGATCGTATTGTGCGCTTTCCAAGGTAAGCACGAAAGCGTACTTTTCAATACTCGTTCGTTAAAGATCGAAGGTCGTAGAATTTGTTGCTCGTTAAAATTCGACGCGCACCTGCTACTATCCGTGAGTTTCCGCGTGGCTCGAGGGATCCGCCTGAAATGTGCAATCGTGCTTGTCGTTAAAAACTTTCAATTCGAGAGAGAAAATACGAACGTATGCGTGTGCGTGAACGTGCACGTGCGCGTGTGTGAGAAAGAGAACAAGATTGTAGCAGAAAACTTTGCTTTAAAGATTCGAGGATGAGAACTTTTCATGCTGTTGGAACGAATAGGATATGTGGTCTAGCATATAGGACAACTTTAACAATTATAAAGGTATTACCATGTTATATCATACGTGAAATATCTCATTGAAAGTTTTAAAAAAGAAAACTAAAGGATTATAGGATTATTTATTTAAAAAGAATTCTCATCAACTTAAGTTGTCCTCATTCGCTAAGTAACTCGCACCAATTATTTCCTACTTCGACTAGTAAAAGTTTTTCGATCGTACAAATTTCTACGACTTTGCTACTACTTTTGCTACGACTTTTGTACCATTCGTTTTCCGTAATCTTTTTCTCAACTTTTTTACGTCCGACATTGGTAAGGATACGTAGATAAGTAACTTAATTCTCCCTTAGAGTAAAAACGAAATGGTACGTTCAACGTTGAACTCTATCTTTGAGCGTAAAACATGATTTTGCTTCTTATTCTGAGAAAGATTTATTACAAAAGTACGGACACGAGCGTGACCATGAATTATCGTCAATCTATTTTTTGTTTCATATTATACGTCATTCATGAATATTCATTTCTTTAAGAGGTTTGCTTTCTTTCAAATTAAATAACAAAGTTAATTAAAACCAAAGAGTAAGCAAAAGAAAATATGACAAAACGAAACCTTGAACGAAAAGATTTATATTTAAACGAAAATTTTTAATGTAAATTTGTAAGGTATAAAAATACTTTTTAGAAGGTGGACTAGGTAGTTATTAGCCCTCGTTTCTCGTCAAAAGGGAAACAACTAATTACGGATAAACGTCACTCAGTGGAAGGCACCACTGGATATGTTGGATCAATTAGAGAGCAGCATCCTTCTTTTTTCCAAGCAAGCATAAAGAAGCTCCCCTCCCTCTTTTCGCTTCGTACCCTCAAGGGAGGGCAAGTAAGGACTCACATTTTCTCGATGACGATCGAACAATTGTGTTCAATCATTTTCCATCCTTCCTCTCTTCGTTTTCTCTCGTTAGGTCATTAATAAATCTTTTCCCCCTTACTCGTGTTTTCGTTTGATTTTGTTTGATTTTGTTTGGTTTCGTTTGGTTTCGTTTCTTTCACAAACTTATTCGTTTTTCTTGGAAAAACTCAAAGTCATAGAAAAGACGACGAGGATTATTAGAGAAAGTACCTTGAGAAAGGAAAACGATAAAGTTGAAATAAAGCCGTCGGTTCCTTTACTACTACTACTACTTCTTCTTCTTCTTTTTCCATCTGAAGAATTTTAGTGTTGTTAAGAAAAGAAAAAGGTAAAAAAGAGAAGGACTCGAATGAAATTTCGCTCATGAAAATTCCGTCCTACGGTAATTCCGTTCACTAACATACGTACATACATGTATATATACATTCATTCATTGTACGTTCTACCAGTTGCTTTACCGTTCTCTTTTGCGTTCATCCAATTTCCACTTCCATCGTTCCAAACTCTTGTTTGATATATCTATAGGTATATGTTTTTGGTACTATCGATTATTTGCGATTCGTTTTCCTATCTTTGTTATAATCGAACTCACGGTAAGCGATCGGAAGACAATATATTCGCATCCGTAACAACGATTAGATAAGAACGATCATATAATACGACGATAAATTGCATTACGGATAATGTTCCTCCATTGAGATTTATTTGAACACTAAAAGGAGTGCGCTATCTAGTCCACGTATTTGACAGAAGTACAAATGTACTCATAATTATGAAAGTTATAGGATTACATTTGAACACTAAATGAATTTCGACAATATCGTGAAAATTGAATTGTAATCAATTTCAAGGAATAATACTTATTTTAATATTAAAGTATTGATATTTCATAGATGACATGGCGTGACAACAATGATCTCGACTCTTCCGATCTCTTTCCGATTTCTTCCTTGGATTTAAAAAGTCGTATTTCTTTTTTTCTGCATAATCTGTGTTCAACATTTACAGGCCAAATTAAATGAAACTTTGTTTACTCCACAACTAACTTTGTTGTTTCCTATGCGACTTATTAAGAAATATCTGAGCTTGCATTTACCTCGGGATTGAAAAACTTTAACCACCTTTGATAAAGAAGTTGAAGAAAATTGGATAAAATTTGCATAAGACTAAGACTAAGACAAGTATAATTTATATTTGCGTTTGTATCGAACAATTGCTTCGAGTTACTTTTGCTTCTCGTGTGATATTTTTTAACAATTTCATTAGAAATATGTCATTTTATTTCTTTTTTGATCTTTCTTCAGTGAGAGGCAGGTGTAAAAGTGAAAGAAAGATTCGTTTGGATATTTGTACATTGATTATTCTGTTTAACGAGAATTCGAAATTTTGCTTTGAAAAGAATTTCTTTCGAATCAATCATTCTCTCTTTCATACACAATCTATCTATATTTTATCGGTTAAAAGTCATTGACGAATGAAGACAAGAAAAATCAATCCGACGATTCGGCCGTAGAACTTTAATAAATGAATGAATATTGAACGGATATGGAAAAGCAAATATGATAACGTATTGACTAGTTTATAGGAATTTATATATCTATAATCGATACCTCGATTAAAAAACTTTGACTTTGAAAACTCCAATCTTCAATTTAGTTTTGATAAGAGGATTAATCATTTTCGATGAGAAGGATGCCACGTGGCATGAATATTCGTCTCGGAATATATACGTAGTAATTTGATAAAATATACCTTGAACTTTTCCATTGGTTACTTGCAAGATAGTGGTTTAATGTAAGATTTAAAAGCATATAAATGCCATCGAAGCAAAAAGCGGTACGTACAATCGATTGCAGACAAATTAGTAAATTTAGTCAAATTGACGAAGGTTTATTCACTTATGTGTAGATAGATAGGTAGATAGGTGTACGCGTACACGTAAACACGTAGGTAATTAAACAAATATGTACATATATGCGTGGTAGTACAGAGACCTGCCAATCGAGGATGAAATCGCTTAATGGAAAGCTCTTATCAAGCAACCCCTTTGATATTGCCTCCAGACGGAGGCAATATTTTTTCTCATTGTTTTCTCTTTYTTTCTTCTTTAAGGAAAAATATACTTCAAAATATACTTACGGCAGATCGAACGGTGAAATTTTGATAAAGTCTCGATGAGATTAAAACTCGCTGCAATGGCTCGTCCAAGAAGGATCGACTGAGCGTCGATCCTCGACGCAACGAACACAACCCTGCCATCAATTCTGGTTATAAAATCTAGACAAAAAAAAAACAAACAAACAACATTATATTATTTTTCTTTTCATCCTGTAATAATAATCGTTATGACAAAATATCTATATGTTAATTTTCATTGCATCCATTCATGCTCTCTTTCAATGTTAATGAGAAAAGTCATACAATATGCATCAACCTAATTTGTTGGATAAAAGTGTGTCGTCTATCCATATTCGTATTTAATTTAACAACCTATCTATATTCGTATTTAATTTATTCTTCCAGTTTGGAGTATAACAAACGAAACACGTGTTTTAAAGATGAAAGTCAGTGTTTTTCGGTCGGTGACTAATGCTCTCGAGTAACGCGATCGTCACAATCATGTCACAATGACTATATATTATCTCAACATTTAAAAACAACGTTTAATTAGGAAGGAATGAGTTCGCATGCATTCAAGGGAAAAAGAGACTCATACAAATCGTAGCAATTATCGTGCATGTACATACGTCGGCATTGTTTCCAATTAGGAATCTCTAATTGATACTAATTAAATTTCCTTTGCATACCAATTGCATTTGGAAATATCAATAAGTTATAGTTAGAATTATGTTTTAGCTATTAGAGAGAGAGAGAGAGAGAGAGAGAGAGAGAGAGAGAGAGAGAGAGAGGTACGCCTAATTAAACATCCAAATGATATGACCAATTTAAGTTAGTTACCATTTGAAGAGAGAGCAAGAAGATCGATATCTTTTCCCAAAGTCTCGACCGTGGAAAAATTTAATTCTAGTCTTAACCTACTTCAAGAAGAATGCGCTTTAGCCGAGAAAAGCTGAACAACTCGTCGATACGCTTTGCATCTGTGACCGGAATACGAAGATGACACAGATTATTAGAAAGACTGAGAGAGAGAGAGAGAGCTTTAATGATAGTAGCAGTAGGACGATGCTTCTAAAAGTATTTCCAAATTGTGTGGAAATCACTCTGACGCGTAGCTTTTTATTTCGATTCGTTTTAAAAGTACAACCGTATCGGTTTTAGAGAGTGTCTTATGCAATCACCACCATCCCTACATACATTTAACAAAAATCCTAAATAGATGAATTTTTGTTGAATTCTTTATCGAGCTGAGTATTCTCCTTTTTTTCTTGTTTCATCAATGTCGTTTCTTTTTTTATGATTGGCGGAGTTGCGTTTTGAGAAGAGACATAGAACGATTGGCATTCGTTCTATACGTTCTATACGTTCTATACGTTCTATACGTTCTATACGTTCTATATGAAAATAATGAGACATTCAACGTCCTTCGTTTCCTCCTTTCCTTTCTCATCTTTGTTGTAAGAGGTAATTGTCTCTTTTTTCTTTACGTCCTGCGGTAATATCTCTGACACGATACCTACTTCCTTCGTTTCAATTCTTTACTGTCGTTGAAAAGGAACGACGATTGGAACAATGCGAGGAAATGGAAATCGCTGGACAAAGAAGAGTACTCTCGATGAGGACCAATAAATTCTTCCAGAGTTTCTTAAATGTATAGGGTCAACCGTATGTTCAATTGAAAATTGGTTACTCACTGATTTCTATTATTGCATATTTTTGTATTCCTCTTTCAAATTTTCCTTTTATTCATTTCATTTTATACGTTAAACATATACGTTCAATAAGGTCAAATCTTTCTAAAGAATTTTCATTGCTCATAAGTTGATTAAACGCTAAACTTGGAATCGCTAATATTAAGATAAACAAGTTATTTTTCAATCTCGTTTCACAGTCTACATAATTTGTATGAAAAATAAATCAATATTTGAGCGATAGTACATAAATACACACACGTTGGCAAAAATGCATATGAATCTGCCTGCCTGCCTGCCTGCTTGCGTGCGTACGAGGAAACCCATCAATTTCATCAAAATATATATGGAGATTTTAACCGATCTCTGCTATCTTTCATTATTTCCATTAAAAATGATTTCTTCGAAATATTTCTAAGTATGTTCTTTTGCCGAAGCACGTTTCAACAATATAAATAACGATTCGTTGCAATTGTTTTGGAATTAGAAATAGGAGAGAGGTACCTTATCATTGTAATTTATTCATGAAAAAACACCGTTAACACTTTATGTATATAATAATATTCTTCAATTTTTCGAGATAGAGGACTTTGGAGAGAACCGTATTTTGCCGGTTTGCTGCAAATTGCACTTTGAAAGTTCACGGTTTTGGTGATCTTTCGGCGATCTTTCAACGATCCTCAATGGTCTGATTTAGAAGCAGAAAAGAGATGGATTTCTCGTTCCATCCAACAAGGTATAAGTGAAAGGTTGAAAAAGCGTCAGGTTGAGAGCAAGCGAGGACATTTAGGTCACGCGACACAGTTTCCTCATGTTGCAAAAGGGAAATGAAATTTTCAAGACTCGGTTCAAAGATATTATTGAATGATCGACAAATGGTTCGAAAGGGAAATCATTGCCGTTCAAACCTAGCCGTTCGCTGACAATCGTCGTTTAATCGGAACTTGAAGAAACAAGTTACGTCAATTAATTGAATTAATTAAATTAATTGACGAAATTATTCACAACTCGATGGGTAAAAAGTACTTCTCGTGGTCGTAGAAGTAATGAGAAAATATTGTATTGCTCGATCGAGGAATCACACTGCGCTTGACCCACATTTCATTCTCGCGAATGTTGCCGACCAAATGTCCTAGCAAAATAGCACCGCTATGTAGATACCTAGGAATAGCATGCATGTATTGCACACGAGTATCATCGTACCGTGCTATGTAAACATTCTATGTGAACATTAATTTCGCGCTCAAGCCTAAATATGATATATAACAACGGCGGCGGCGGCGGCAGCGGCGGCGGTAGGATGCTGATGCAAAAGAGTGGCTGCTTCCTTCTTATTCCTTTGAAGTTTAAGTTCCGAAAAGACGGCCATTTACGTCGGAAGAATATACTCGGTCGCGCTACGTTCTTTCAATTTATCCCCTTCTTCTTGCTATTCAAACGATATCTCGAGACTCCGAGCTACCTCGTTGGACGAAAAGAAAAAGAAAAAACGAGTAAGCAAGAAAAAAATGAAGAAAATTATCCTTCATTTCGGTACGACCTTCGATTAGAATTTCAACGAAAGCTAATACGATTATCGGATGGATTGGTTTTTTTTAAATTTTATTTTCCTACCTTGGGTATTTGCATTTATTCGAATATTGCTTCTTAACGCTTCAACGTTTTATTGATATGAATAGTTTTTCTTTCAATTGAATAAGAAATTAGGAAAATGTCTCTTTCACTTTCTGTGTCTAGATTTGGCGTACATAACGATAAGGCATAGAGACGATAAAGGCATAGGCCTGGATTATAAATCACTGATCTGGAATTATGTGCCGCAATAAAAGCAACAGAGCATTCAGGAGCGATTATCGTTTCAACTTTCCCGTCCCCTCTTCGGTTCTGTTAAATTCACCAAGAGAGAAGGAAGAATCCCGCATCGAGCCTGTGTCCCATACTGCTCCTCTTGAGCCACCCTCTCGAGCCACCCTCTCGGGGTACGTACTTGAAAGATACAATGGCACTCAACTTCGCTTCGTTTGTTTCACATCTCTGGAATAACCTTGAAATGGAATTCTAACCAAATTTCAAGCTTCTTTCTATAGCTAAACTGTCGACGCATTTTTTCATTTATTCTTCCTACGACAGTTGATGTGTCATTTTATATGACTAAAAGTTTGTCAAAATTGGATCGTTAACAATATCATTGTTACTATACTCGTAAGAGAAAATGATAGTTGGAAAAGTACATGTACTACTAGGAGTAGTTTGCTTGATGTTATCTCGCGTTGCAACGAGTCCCAGTGGTACGGTACGGTATCGTACGGCGGTATCGTACGGTATCGTACGGTATCGTACGTAGGGGATGAAATCGTTTTAGAACAACACATCAATATATTGCAACAAATTCTTACGAAGGAAAAAATACATTCTCAATGTAACATTAGGATGCATAAAGCAACAAAGAAATCAAGAAATGTAGGTATTTATTTAGTTTTAGGTAACGACACACTCAAGACTGATTTATATTCCCGAGCAAGTGAATTGTCCGGCCAGAGCTATTAAAACTTTCCTACGCACTCAAATGCAAAGAGAGAAAATTGCGATAGAAGTGAGTAATGCTTGTGTAATATGAACGAGACCGCAACTACACGATTCGTCAAATATTCTAGGTGTAAAAAGTATATGTAGGTGTATTAATACTAGAAGAAAACCTACTATACTGAAAGAAACCTACAGAAAAATTCATGGAAATCGTATTTCGTATTTCGTGTTTCGTGCTTCGTGCTTCGTGCTTCGTGCTTCGTCCTTCGTGTTTCGTGTTTCGTAAACTTTTCTTGCCTTAGAGAATTTCCTTTTCTTCTTTACTGAACTTTCTTAAAACCGCACGATTGCCGAATCGACGCTTTGAATTTTAACGTCCAACGGATTCACGATGGTCTTTGTGATCTTTTCAATCTTTAATTAGTAACTCCATATTGTAGAATTGTTAAACCGATTGAAAATACTTTTATTCGTTGTATTCTACATATATAATTTTATTCTTCTAATTACAATTAAAGAAGCATAATTTACTTGAACTTTAATCAATTGTTTTTTTTTATTTTATTATGATAAATTTGCCGATAAGTTACATTTATGTTTCTTCTCGTTGCAATTAAAAATAAAAAAGAAAAGACTTTCACTTTTTGACGGTAATTTTGGAAGATATGAAAGTCGTTGAATAAATTTTATCCTAAAATTGCTGCGAGCGTTTTTACTCGTTGCCTTTCGTGTTTTTATTAAGACGAACGAACGAACGAACGAAAGAACGAACGAACGAACGAACGAACGGACAGACGAACAAACGAGAGAACGAATGTATGAAACATGGTATTCGTGTGTGTACGATCGATTACTTTTTTCACATCTTTCTTTCTGCAAATTACATTCTTTCCGTCTCGACACCTTTACGTCGGCCATTTTAACGAACCGTTATTTTTATTTTTTACGATGCTTATCGTTAGTTACTAAAAGGCGCTTATCAACACGTTCGATATCACATTTATTTCAAATTATTCTGATTTTCAAAGGCGTCACTATTTGAATGCATTTACAGTATGTGAGAGAAAAAGAATACCTAATACGAAGAGCGATGATGGAATGCTTCTCATAAGAATCTAGGGGAACGAGATCAATATATCTGCGAGAAAAGAAGCTTGAATATTTGATAATACTATTTGCACGGGCTACTAAATCCAAATAAAAATAGAATAAATGGTATAAAAAAAGACTTTGTATTAAATCATCATATATCGTTTACCTACAGGCACAAGTTATTAATTAACGTTTATGCTAATCTTTGTACAAATAAATGATATTATTTAACAGGTTTCTGATTTATTTTTTAAAAGTAAATATATCTAATCCACTCGATGATTCTATTATCTCCGATTAAGCGCCGAACGAACCTTTTACCCTAATTTTAAGCCAGTATTAAAGCAAATAGTAGGGGAGTATACTCGTATACTCCTCAATAATAAGATAGAAGTGGTTCGCATTAATTGATCAAATTCAATGGCAATACACTCGTGCATCCCGTTAATGCATTTTCCATCGGTCGCGATCGTTAAACGATTAGGTATAATAAATTAACACTGATAAACTAACGATGATAGTTAGATTTTCGATTAATACAATTGCAACTTTAGATAATTCAGCGAATACTTACGTAAATTCGCTAAAAGAAATGATATTTAATGGAAGAGGAATAATTCAAGTGAAATTATTTGGCATAACTTGTTGGAAATATCGATGATTTCGCATAAAAATAGAAGAGAACGAATTCCTGGCGAAAGCTTTTAATAGAAACATTTTCGCAGCGTTCGTGCATTAATGAGTACACAAGGATTTCTAGGTGCTTATCGAAGTGTATGATTCAAGCATAACTTGTAAAATGAATAATTCGACAAATCGATAAAACGTATTGTAATATAAGAACGTGATCTGAAATTGAAATTGAAATTGAAACGTATTCCATCGAAAAGTTAGCAATACTTATTAACCTATCGACCTATTGACAAGCTTTACCCGTCGATCCAAAAATTTCTATTTCTCGATACTTAATATTCCAACTTGGTAGAAACAGTATCTACCATCTTCGAGTCAATATCGAATCAATATTGAATCAATTTAGAGACCAATATAGAGAGCAATTGAAAAAATAAGTAGGTAGATTGATAGATAGGATAACGTCGTAAGTAAATTCTTTTGCTAGTTCTTTGCTATACACACCTAATGCTTTTGTATCTTTCGAAAGATCGACAAGATTAAAGACTCTAAGGTTTGTTTTTAATTAATTAATTGACATGAAAGTTCTCGGATTTTCAGGGTATTTAGAAAGTAATACTTAGAAACTCGACTCGACTCGTACTCGTGCGAGCTACTATGCTTTTAATTTGAGACTAAATGTAACCGAAACGCACCTCTTAAGTTAAACGTTTAAAAGGGAAAAAGGCTTTGAGTGTTATAGCAACTAAGTGGAAAGATGCTACCTAACTGTCCTTATACTTTCAATCGACTTTATTCCAAGTATCTCTTCCTCCTACAAACTAAAACACTTTGAAAACATAGTATAACATTGATGCTTAATTGAAAAATTTCTAAACAGCTAGAAGTTTAACGTGATATCCGATCGATACGAAGGTGGTACGAATAATAGCTTACTCTTTTCTTTCAATTTCAATCATTTCAAACGAAATGAAAAGGTAATACTAACCTAAGATACTCTTAGATAATCTACTAATAATTACAATCGAATCGATCAAAGCTTCGTATTGAGAATAATCGCCATGCTTGTTCAAATATTTTTCACTAAATTTTGCGAATCTTGCTCTTTATCTCGCGGTATTTCTATAGATACAGCTCGCTATTACTCAAAGATATTCACTTTCGAGAGGAGTCTTTACAAAGTGACTGCTAACCGTGAATAATCTGCAACGCAACAACAGGCATTTGTGTATGTGTTACCTCGGCGTCAATTTTTCTCCCATCATAAAAAAAAAAAAGCCGATAAAAATTAAAGACGCACTCGTCGTAGCACTAATCTTTCCCATAAAACAAAAAATTACTTTGAGAGAAAAGATTGAATCTGTTTTATAACAGATGAAGAAAAATTGGCGAAATGTCGAGTTGATATTTTGGCTAAATGTTTACTTGTGCGTTTTACCCTATAAGCAGTTTAAGTACGAAATAACTAGGTAACAAATGTAAGAATAAACGAATTTGACTATGACATGTCTATTTATTAGTTTCGCGTGCACGTGCAGACTACTACTACTATTACTTGGTTAAACGCGTTTAGATGGATAAGGAAAGAGAGCGTATGCCTTCTTTTAAAGAAGCCAACTCATCCAACGATATTTATGCGTCTCCTGTGGGTGCTCCTACACGATCGGTTATTTATAAAACCATTGACGATAATCAATAACCTATGCCTATATATCTCCTCTCTCTCTCTCTCTCTCTCTCTCTCTCTCTCTCTCTCTCCTTCTTCTAAAGCTTACCCCTGTAACAGCGAAAATTGAGCAACACTCGATAAACAAACAAACCCTTCGAGTTTTCTCTTTAACGAACGGAGAAGGAAGGAAGATAGAAAAAGGATGGAAAAAGGAAAATTCGTATTTTCGTTCTCTATCTTTTATTTTTTTTTTTTTATCTTACTTTAGTAAGATAAGAAAAAGTATTCTCGTTCGGATATCCTTTTATTCCCTGTAG